TCGCATACTCTCTTGGGCCCAGTAAATGAGCCTGGAAGTTTTGTTTGTTTGTTTTGAGGCAAGGTCTTTCTGCATAGCTGAATTATGGATGTTTTATTCCCTCTGTAGACCAGGTTGGCCTCAAACTCACAGAGATCCCTCTGCCTCTGCCTCCAGAGTGTTGGGATTAAAGGTTGCACCACCACACCCTGCAACAGGTTGTAAGTTTTGAAGGGTAGGCAAAAGCCCAAGATGGACGCTCAGAGCATATTTATTGAGAGGAATGGAACAGAGAGGAGCGTACAAAAGTTCTCATTTTAGAGTTGCATTCACATAGAAGTCCACAAGATGGCAGTGTTTCTACGCAAGGAAAGAAATGGTTTGCCAATCAATGAACCATCTCCCAGAAACAACAGAGAGGATGAATACTACATACTCAGAGTAAATGCTTCAAGTTCACTGGAGCAATTAAACTCTCCTTTCTGCTTGCCATCCTGATGCCGCACTGTGCCTATTACAAGAACAACAATTTACATCAGGCATAGGGTACTCCTAACTTGTGTGATGTAACATCAAGAGTTCAAGCTCCTCCTCAACTATATAGAAAGTACAAGGTCAGTTTGAGCTACACAGAAATGCTACTCAAAAAAAAAATTAAACCTGTCAGTAGTGGCACACACCTTTAATTCCAGCACTCTGGAGGCAGAGGCCAGTCTGGTCTACAGAGAGAGTTTCAGGATAGCCAGGGCTACACAGAGAAGCCCTGTCTCGAGAAACCAAACTAAATCAACAATTTCCTTATTTTATGGGTATACTAGTATAATTATAACTTAAGTTCCGATGCTCTGCTTTGGTGATGTAGCCCACCACTGAGCTCCTGTCTTTGGCACTCTCACCTGGGAGTGTCTTCACAAGCTTGTCAGTTATTTTACACATAGAAAATATTTTCACACACAATTATATGCAACTCTTGTAACAGGCTTCCAGACCTTAAGAGGCACAACTGACTCCATGATGGAAGTATCATTCATAAAAACCAGACAAAATGAAAACAAAGACCTAATCCACCAAAGTCTGTAGTTCTGGGAAAGTCTCTAAAGGTACTGACCTTAGTGTAATGGTCTGTCCTGTCTCTCTAAGAGACAAGCCATGCCCACTCCCTCCCCATCTGCTGAGGAAAGCTGATTTTCAGCTTCCAGCCTGAGTCTCTTCCTTTTCCGTCTCCCTCTTGAAGAGGCAGCTTCTGTCTCTCCCTTCTCTCTTCTCTCTTCTCCCTCTCCCTCTCCCTCTTTCTCTCTCTCCTCTTCTCCTTCTCTCCCTTCCCTTCCATACTTCCATAACCCATAAGCATGGCGTGTCTCTCGCCCACCTCCGAGGACCAGCTGCCTTTGGAGACCTGTGGTGTGGTCTCGTGCGCCGTCCCTGACTGGGACTGACTGTTCTGGGGCCCGCTGCCTACCCCCTGCTCGGGGACCTGCGGTGTGGTCTCACTTGGAATTCACAGCATTTTAAATTTTACCTTTACACTTGGTCTTTGGTTTCTGTAGCTCTGCTTCTAGCTGACTGTTTTTGTTAGCTGAAGCATGTCAACCCAGAACATGGTTTTTGTGCTTAAAAGTTCACCCTGAGAAAGGTTTCGGCCTGTACTTGGGTCCTGAACACCTAGTGTAGTCGCCAGCCGGCTAACACGGACTTTCTGTTGGCTTATACCCATGTCCAAGTAGTCTTCTCTGATGGATACCCAATAACTCTATAGTACTTTTCCAAGAGAATGGAAACATTGGTCCAAACCAAGACATACTCAGAAGATTACATCAGACAAAACAGAACACAAGGGACAACCGCTCTGTTCCCTCGCCTGTAGGGACAACATCAGTTTGGAATGAGAGGAGCAGGACCGCTTGTGACATTGGCTGGACCCGGGGACCTTGCTCTGTTAGGTGGCTGGACCTGGGGACCCTGCTCTGTTAGGTGGCTGGACCTGGGGACCCTGCTCTGTGAGGTGGCTGGACCTGGGGACCCTGCTCTGTGAGGTGGCTGGACCTGGGGACCCTGCTCTGTGAGGTGGCTGGACCTGGGGACCCTGCTCTGTGAGGTGGCTGGACCTGGGGACCCTGCTCTGTGAGGTGGCTGGACCTGGGGACCCTGCTCTGTGAGGTGGCTGGACCTGGGGACCCTGCTCTGTTAGGTGGCAGAATCCAGGCTAAAGAATGTGCACCATGTGCCTCTTCTAAGACTCAGCTCTCTGAGCAGGCTGGGCTCTGCGAGCTGGCATGTGGGAGGACACTTGGGAAGGGGGCAGGTTTCTTTCAGGGTCATGCAAATACTGATTTTGGTGGGTGTCACAAAGGCTCTGGGTTTGTCTAAACATATCTAAAGGCACTTCAGAAATGGGCTCATTGAGCCGGGCGGTGGTGGCGCACGCCTTTAATCCCAGCACTTGGGAAGCAGAAGCAGGTGGATCTCTGTGAGTTCAAGACCAGCCTGGTCTACAAGAGCTAGTCCCAGGACAGGCTCCAAAACCACAGAGAAACCTTGTCTCGAAAAACCAAAAAAAAAAAAAAAGAAAGAAAGAAATGGGCTCATTGTATATTGTGTGTATCTCTTGAATTATGGAGTTGGTGTGACCTTCTATTGCACAGCACAGACCAAAGCGAGGCAAGACTAGCACACTGTGTCTGCTCTTCATGCAGCAGAACCTCGGCCAAGCAGATGATGTGGTGACAGACAGGGCAGCCTTGCTGAGATGCTGAGCCCAGTGGAGCCCTGCAGGTCCAGCTCTAGGGACAGAGATGATGGCTATTCTCTTCCCAGACACAGAGAGAACCTGGGAGCAGCTGCTGTCCAGGCCTGAGCATTCGAACCTCTAAATGAAAAGACAGGTATATGTGACCTAGAAAAATTAGTAAATACAAGAAAACTCTGCAGAGCCATTCAATAGGAAAAGTGTAACTGTTCCCTGAACCCCAAGCTCTACATGGGACACTTCAAAAGTTTCCAAAGAGGAAAATTCCACAACCAACTTACCACCCCCCTTTGGAGGAGGAGCCCTGTTCCCTCACCTGTAGGGACAAAAAGAAAGAGCCAGTGTCTTAGTGGTGCACAGTTTGGCATCACCACCGCAGTTAGGATTGAGACTAGAAGACCACGCATCCCTTTAACATCCTGTGGAAACCCATTCCCCCATTAACCAGAAGGAAAGAAGAAGGCTGTCTCCACTGCAGACCATAGCTCTGGTAAGTCCAGGCAAGGGACCAAGAAAACACCACAAGAATTCATTCCTGGGAGAACAAAACATAAAACTAAGTTGGAGAAATCAGTATTTCTTAGAGAGACAAGAGTCAGACAGCAGTGAATAGCAACCGAAGGCTCCAGAGCCGAGATCTCTCTTCTCCTTTGGGCCACGGGTAAATTTACTCTAAATCCATATGAAAAACATGAAAACATAAATAGGAGGAGTCAGGAGAGCCCTGGAAACCATTAGCAATGGCAGGGGTGTGGGGTTCTCACCAGTACGTTGAAAACTCTGAAGTGGGATGAGTATGTGGCTCAGTGGTAGAGGGCTCCTCTGGTCCGCACAAAGCCCTCAGCGGTAGAGGGCTACCCCCCAGTATATGCACAAAGCCCTGGTCTAATTCCCGCACCACAAAGATTAAAAACAAACTACCATATAACATTAAAAGGGGCTGGAACAATGACTCAGTGTTTAAGTATTTGTTGTGCTTGTAGAGGACCAGGCAGGATTTGGTTCCCATCTGGCAGCTCACAACCACCCGTAACTCCCATTACTGGGGTCCTACAGTTTGTTCTGGACTCCTTGGGCTCCTACATACACATGGCACACACATAGACACATGTAGGTAAACACTCATACACATAAAAGAAGTGAAATCTTACACACATACACACACACAGGAGTGCATACCTAGTAGTGTAGCACTAATACAGAAGGAAACCAAAGGGTTGAGGCTCTAGTGTAAAACCAGGGAGCATCCTACCTACAAGGCTTTCTCTGTAGCCTCTAGATCAGGAACAACTCAGTAGGAAGAATGGCTTTCCTCAGAAGATCCCAAACCTATTCTGTAACAAGCCAGACACAGGTATGTAAATGGTTGTCTACCAACTACAAAAGAAATAAATATATTGTAGCATAATCCACAGATTCACCATTACACAACACTTAAACAAGATGCTGAAAGTCTAAGAATCTCCCTTTCTTTAATATATATATTCTTTTGACAGAAGGTCTCTCTGCCTAGCCTTGGCTGTCCTGGAACTCACTATATAGAGCAGACTGACCTCAAATTCAGAGAGGTCTGCTTGAGCATCTATGCCCAACCCTAGGAATCGTTTTAGTGTGTGTGCTGCTGAAGCGAGCATGCCAGGCATCTTACCAACCTGAAACAAAGGTGGGGAAGGGTGCAGTTTACTTAACAAGTCTCCATTTACTTTATTTTTTCAAGACAGGGTTTTTCTGTTTAACAATCCTAGCTGTCCTGGAACTCGCTTGGTAGACCAGGCTGGCCTCGAACTCATAGAAATCCTCCTGCCTCTGCCTCCCGAGTGTTGGGATTAAAGCCATGCGCCACCATCGTCCAGCCGAAGATACAATTTTATTTAAACACTAGTGAGGAATTTCGTCACGTGTTTCAACTAGGGAACTGGTTCTTGGATTGACCTAAACCAAAATGACCTTGAACTCCAATCTCCCAAATTCCCACCTTGCAAAAACGGATTAAAACTCTGTGTCAACAACACACACACCGGCTCTGGAATCTTGGATTCTAATTGCCACGCTCCCACCAGAGAGTTTTCTTTTTGCCACGCCCCTCTACCCGAACTTCATTTCCCAACATTCTCCTAAGACCTCTAAGTTAGCGGTCATTGTGACGTCATCCCACAGCCCTCAGGGAAATGTAGTTTGTTCATTCTCTAGCTAGGGAAAGATCAGGGGCTGTGGACTACCACTCCCGTGAGGTAGTGCGCAGTCCCACCCCATAAGCGGCGTCTTCGAACGCGCCGCGGCAGCCATGTTGGTCGTGGCTTGCACAGGGGCCGGCTCCAAGGGGTTGTAGAAGCAGGTGTAAGGATGTTGTCCGCGGTGTTGAGGCGAACCGCGCCGGCGCCGCGGCTCTTCCTACGGTTACTCAAGTCTCCATCGTTCCAAAGCCGCGGAAGTGCTTACGGCAGGAGCGTAACCACCGCAGACCGGGGAGAGCCGCAGCGGCTGAAAGCTGCCGCCTGGGTGCGCCCTGGAGCATCTTCTGTCTCGTTCCCCGGACGGGGGGCAGCCACCGGGGGGCGCCGTGGAGAACGCACCGAGATCTCCTGCCTAGCCGCCGCCTCGTGGGGACACGGTCCTAGCCCGGAAGAAACACTGCCCGGACAGGACAGCTGGAATGGGGTCCCCAACAAGGCAGGACTGGGCATGTGGGCCCTGGCCACGGCGCTGGTGGTTCATTGCTACAGCAAGAGTCCTTCCAACAAGGGTGATTATGGGGCCTGTCTGGGTTCCAGGGAGAGGTGTGGGGGTGGGTCCTGACTCCTTTGGAGAGTTGATGGTGTTTGTAAATTCAGACCCGCATTACCTTATCCTTGGAGAGACCCAGGTACCTATCTGCTGCCAGAGGCAACAAGTTGCCCTGGAAAATTCACTGCTTGCAGTTACATAATTTGCCATTGTAGGTCTAGTCCCCTACATCAGTTTGTGTATCTGTATAATGGGGACATTGGAGTGACTGTCTAATTATAGCCTAGTCCATTAGTCTTACAAGAGGTCTCCAGGAAGCCCCAGCAGCTTAGCGACATCTCTACATGTTTGCCTGTAGAAAGGCCCGAGGAAGGAGGACCCTTGGCTCTGATGCTGGCTTGACTCCCATGCTCCTCTTTGGCCTTAGTTTCCCCACTGTCTAGTGAAGGCAGTTTCTCAGTACTCTGCTAAGACTGACGTTTTGACCTCTCTTGGAGTTCAGAGTCTGTTCAGCAATTCCTTAGTGTTTTGCTATGCTTAGTGTTGTGCTTAAGGTGAACATTGTATTGGGTGTGGGGGTGGAGCCTGGGGGAACAGGTAGTTGGCAGAAGGAAGGTAGCTCTCTGGAGACTGGGAGCAGCAGGGATAGGCTAAGAAGTGGAGGTAGCTAACCCGGACTGGCTTCTTACCTAAATACGGAGAGCTGGTGAGGAAGGAACTTGTTAAAGCATGGTGCTGGTGGGTTCCATGCACCCTGAACTCAGATTGTTGAGCAAGATTGAGCACAGCCTTGTGTTCAGTAAGATGTGGCCACCTGAGAAGAAAGGGCTTTGGATGAGGAATGAGGACACCAGGGTCTTGTTTTGTACTGTCTCACGCACTTTGGAAAGCTGAACTCTTGTTCTTCGCTCGTCCTGTTTTCTCTCTATTACTGAGGGTATTGAAGAAGGGCCCTTCTAGCTTAAACATGTAGTGATTATATGATTGACTCGCAGCTCGTGTGTGTGTGTGGAGGTAGCGTTCTCTCCACTTAGTTTGGGGCTAGGTGTTCAAAAAGCCCCAACTTTAAACCAAGCCAGTTAAGGCAGTTGGCCAGAGAGCTATTAGGGTCAGGATAGCCTTCCTGGAGGACGGGCAATTCTTGGAAGACGGGGAATTTGAACTTGAGTTCTGAAGGAACACAGGAAATATAAGTGCGTGTGTGCGTGTGTGTGCACCCCATGATGGCCAGGTCTGCATCTTACTTTTATTAGTATTTCCCTAATACTAAAATCTGTCCACAGTGTGTGGCTTGTGGAAGGGGATACTTAACAAATGTGCCTTGGATTGGATTGGATTCCATACACTGAAGTCCATAGACTTCAGTCAGCTTGGTGTGGGGGAGCGAGCTCTTTGAGGAGGTTGGAAGACAGGGCATGAAGTGAGAGAAGAGAAATGGGCCCTGCATGCCAGGCCAGGAGTGTGTAGGATTCTGCAGGCAATATAGAGCATGAAGGTTCATGAGCACAGACTGAAGAACAGGGGAAATGTGTATGAACTCAGGGCCCTAGGCTGGACTCTGGCACATGAATGTCAGTGGTGTCCACGTAATGAAATGACTCAAACTGTGGCCCGTTCTGGCCCTTCTCACTTACCTGATAGGGGATTTTGAGCAGAGTCCTTCAGTTCAATGTTCTGAGAAACAGGTCCCTTCAGGAGCCAAGATGAATTCTGCTGTAGGTAGTGGAAAGCCAAGGCAAGTCTGTGAGCCCAGAATGCCCCAGGTTACAGCTCTTTTCTCCCCGCTCTGTGACCTTAGAGAAGGAGGGAGAGTAGACGTAAGAAGGAATGGTTTTCCTCTCCCAGCTGGAGGTTGTTAGGTGTGTGGATGAGAACAATCCCTAAGAGCCAGGCATGACAGCACACACCTTTAATCCCAGCACTCTGGAGGCAGAGGCAGGCGGAGCTGTGTGAGTTCAAAGCCAGCTGGGTCTACAAGAGCTATTTCCAGGACAGTTAGGGTTACACAGAGAAACCCTACCACAAACAATAAAAAACAAAAACGAAGAAACAAAAAACCTGGTTTATGCACATGAGTCGGACAAATCACACACAAAGTAATCATTAGTGCTGGGACTGGCGCTGGGCTCAGCTTGTCTCCGACTCTAGTGACTTCTCTTACCTAGTGGGTCTTAAATGCTGAGGCCTGGGCAGAAGTCAGCTAGTGGCCAGCAGTATAACCCAGAGTCAGGCTGGGCACAGAGCTGTCAACTGTGCCTCTGCTGTTGACTTGTGAGTTTTTCCCAGTGGCCACAAGGTGGCGCCAACAGCCAGGCCAGGCTTTAGCTAGGCCTGGGTCCTCAGGGATCTCACTGAACAGTTTGGGTCTCCTTTCTCTGGGTTTGTACTAAGGATTTTGGAGATTTTTCAGTTATTGTTTTATCTCCTCAGCATCCTTGTAAGGCTGACAAAAGTTACTGTCTGTTGAATACCATGGGAAGTTGCTTGAAAAAGAAATGCTGCAGAGAGTAATGGCCGAGTGGGTTGGACTCCAGTGTCCATGACTTCAGATTGGGGTTCTTTCCATTCTTAGGAAGACCACACACCCGAGCCTCAGTGCTTGGGAACACTGGGGGAACTGGTACAGCATCTGCCTCATCCCCAGACAGAGGAGGGGTGGATCTTTCCAGGGGAAGAAGGGCTCAGTCTTCTCACGCCAGCCTTTCACTTTCTAAGCAACTTCCGCTGACTTGCTGGACCTTCTCTCAGCTCTGAGGGGCAGGTCCTAGCCAGGGGTGTAACCAGTACCCCATCTCTTTTCAGATGCAGCGCTGATGGAAGCTGCCCGTGCCAACAATGTGCAGGAAGTCAAAAGGTGAGTATCTGAGCCCTACTGTCTTACCCAGAAGGGCTGAGCAGAGTGTGTTAATTTGCCTTAGAGAAAAGCCTTTCCCATCCTGGGCTTGTTTCCCAAGGGCTCGCTGCAGCCATAGTCAGAGGCTCCCCTGGCCCAGATCAGACTTTATATATTTTAAATATGGATGAGGGCACCCAAACATCTCAGTGTTTGGTGGCAATGGCTTGGAGTTCATGGACCCTGTGAATCTTAGTTTGTTCTTGTTCTTGTGTGGAAGTGACCATGTATTACTGTTTGCTGCCTGGACCTGGGGTAGATGGGCATCCTTAGAGAAACTTGAGACTAGGAAGGCCTGCTCAGAGGGCTGAGGCATGCTGGCCTCCAGCAGAGGCAGGCTGTAATTCTTCAGCTTCAGTGGCTCACCCAGTTCTCCTGGGCTGCTTCTCCAATGGAGTGGGGTGTTTTGCACAGAGGCTGCTCCTTGAGCAGGGGAAGGCTCATCTTGAGCTGGAAGCCTGGCGGTGTGCAGGAAGGATGATGCCGAGAGTGGACCTGCGCCAAGCAGCAGTTATGGTCTGTTGTTGAGAAACAGTATTCATCCCTCTTGGGCCTTACCTTGGCCTTATTGCCCTTCAAACAAATCTAAGTGCTCATGGGACCCCTCTTTTACCTCAGATATTTGTTTTCGGTGTTGTGGTTTGTTTTTGTTTTTGCCGTGCTGAATCTGAGCAGATCTTAAACATTCTTGGCAATTACTCTACCAGTGAGTTGTTTCTCTAGACCTTGGCTTTTGTTTGTTCATTTAGTTTAAGTTTTTTTTCTTTTTTTTTTTTTTAACTTATTTATTTTGAGACATCTCTCTACGTAGTACTGGCTGCTCTGGAACTCACTATGTAGACCAGGCTTATCTCAAGCTCACAGAAATCCGCCTGTCCCTGCCTCCCAAGTACCAGGATTAAAGGCGTGTGCCACCATGACCAGCTAATTTTATTTCCATTTTATATTATGGCCATTCTGCCCACATGTATCTCTGTGTATCGTGTGCATGCAGTGCTCTGGGCAAGAAGAGGGCGTTGGCTCGTCTCTAACCGGAGTCACAGATGGTTGTGAGCTGCCGTGTGGGTGCTGGAAATCGAAACCAAATCCCCTGTAAGAGCAGCCAGTGCTCTTAACTTTGTAGCCATCCCTCCAGGCCCATAACTCTTGTTTTTTGAGGATAGATTTTGTTAAGTAATCTGGGTTGGCTTTGAACTTTGATTCCTCTTGCCTTAGCCTTCTGAGTGCTGGAATTATAGGTGTGGACAACCTTGCATGATGCTGTGTTCCCATTTTAGAGAGGAAGTCAGGTCGGTGTTTGGAGTCCCTGCATGCCCTGGACCCTGGGTGTACTTAGAGAGGAAGTCAGGTCAGTGTTTGGAGTCCCTGGACCCTGGGTGTACTTCTCCCCTCCAGATGCTTGAGCATAGAAGAAAATGTGGAAAGGCAGCCACGGCTCCACCAAGACTTACTGCTTTGATTCCCTTTCATTTTATCTGCAGCATTATTATTGATTCTCAAGGGTGCTTTTGAGTATTAATGTTCAAGGCTTAGTTTTTAATAAACCACTTTTGGAAGTATGGGCTGGGAGTTGTTTTGTAGCCAAATAAATATGATGGAGCAATAGTTTAATAAACATGTGCTGATGCATCTTAAAAGCCAAGCGCAGATGTCATCTTGTTATAAGAGCCATTCATAACTGCAGCTGCGTGCGGCATCTTCATGCCCCAGACACGTGCCTTTCCTTCCAGAGCCTCATTACAGGGAAGCGAGGAGTCGGAACTTATTTAGTGATCCCGGAATCACCTGTTGGTAACTGCCAAAGGCTGCCGGCCTGCAGCTTCCCTCCTCCAAGCCCAGTGTAGGCCAAGCTGGGGAGGCTGACACTCCAAGGGTCATTTTAGCTCAAAAATTTACGAGGGTTTTTTTCTGTTTTGTTTTGTTAGTTTTAGGTTTTTTGAGGCACGGTTTCATGTACTCAGGTTGGCCTCAAACTCAATACATAGCCAAGGATGACCTTTAACTTCTGACCCTTCTGCCTCTGCCTTTGAATGATGTGATCCCAAGGATGACCTTTAACTTCTGACCCTTCTGCCTCTGCCTTTGAATGATGTGGTCCCAAGGATTGCCTTTAACTTCTGACCCTTCTGCCTCTACCTTTGAATGATGTGATCCCAAGGATGACCTTTAACTTCTGATCCTTCTGCCTCTACCTTGGAATGATGCGATCCCAAGGATGACCTTTAACTTCTGATCCTTCTGCCTCTGCCTTTGAATGATGTGATCCCAAGGATGACCTCTAACTTCTGATCCTTCTGCCTCTACCTTTGAATGATGCGACCCCAAGGATGACCTTTAACTTCTGATCCTTCTGTCTCTACCTTTGAACGCTGTGATCCCAAGGATGACCTTTAACTTCTGATCCTTCTGCCTCTACCTTTGAACGATGTGATCCCAAGTATGCACCATCATGATCCATCTTGTGTGGTGCTGAGGATCAAGCCAGGACTTAGTGCATGCTGGGAAGGCACCTACCAGCTGAGCCTCAGCCTTTGGGATTTCTTACTGTCTTGTTTTGGGGGTGTTTTTTTTTTTTTTTTTTTTTTTTTGAGGAGATTCTTGCTATTTAGTCCAGAAAGGGATCCAAAACTCATGATCTTCCTGCCTTGGCCTCCCAGTGCTGTGATTGCAGGCAGGTGAATACCCTTTCTCCCTCTCCTCCCTTCCTTCCACCCCTGCTTTCCTAGTACTGGGATTATATGTGCACACACCCTGTTGAATACACTTATATTTTTTAGATTGTGTATGTGAAGGGGAAGAAGGGTGTGCCCCTGTGTGTGTGGGTGCTCACAGAATCCAGAAGAGGGTGTCAGACCCCCAGACAGTGAACTACCTGAAGAACAGTATGTGCTTTTTACCACCCAGTCATCTCTCCAGTCCCTAAATATGTATTTCTATAATGACAACTAAATACTTTTCAATGGTAATCAGTTGAATGAGGCACAGGCTCTCCTCAGCCCCCATCTAATGTCGTCCCCAGAGCTGGGACAAGCTGGGCAAGGGCCTGGCAATGTGGACTGACTGCCAGGCCCAGGACTTAAGCAGGGTATGAGAAAAGAGCGGAGGTGAGTGGTGATGTGGTGGGAATATGCCTGGCTGCCCTGGCCACGGTCGGGGTTTTGAATGCTCTTCCTATGAGCAGTAGGTAGGTTTAGGAGGCTTTTGAGCAGGGAACTGAACCAGTTAGGGCTGCTTCGGAAGAAATGGGAAAAGGCTGAAGGCAGATCTTTTGAGAGGCTGTCTGAGGAGGAGGCCAAGCTGAGGGAGACTTTCATCTTTTTCTCTCCTCACTCCCTCACTCAGAGCACTTGTTAAGAAGGAATGAGTGGCTGGGCATGGCGGTGCAGTTTTAATCCTAGCAGATGCAGATCTCTGAGTTCTAGCTAGCCAGAAATACAAAGTTCCAGGCCAACCAAGGCTACACATAGTGAAACCTTGTCTTGAAAAACACGACAGAAAAAACAACAAAAGGAAAGGAATGGCCTCACGTGGGTGCTGTAGATAGCTGTAGATGGGAAGGAGTAAAGAGCAGCCTGGCCTCAAGGAAACAGACATGTAATGCCCCAGTTGCAGGTCATCCTTCTGGTAGGCTAGCCTGGAGCAGGGGTGGAGGGCCTGACATCCTCACTGGAAATGGTCTTGAGTTTTCTTGAGTTTTTCTGTGTGTGCCCTTGACTCCCCTGATGCCTTCCACTGCCCTAGATCCTGTTTGTTGCTAGCCTCTGTTTGTGTCCAGCAGGCCTGCCTGGACAAGACAATTCTAGTCTCAGTCCCCCCAACCAGTTTGCACAGTTGTTTTGCCATGTTTATGATCGGTATGGTTAGTGACATCAACATTTGGAGTAAAGCTCAAACCTGGAGAATAATCTTGCCATCTTGGGCTCTGTCATTCCTGTGCCTGGACCTTCCCTTAGCTCTGTCTTCAGCCCAGAACCTCAGGAGAGCTCAGGATGGGGAGGGACTCTTCTGCTTAAAGAGAGGAGCTTCACCCCCGAATCTGTAATCCCTGGAACAGATGGAGACTCCCTGCTGCCCCCCCCACCCCCATTACTGCTGTTGCTCCAGGCCAGTCTTTGAGCCTCAGTGGAAGTTCTGCCTTCTAACGCCCCTCTCTTTGGTTCGTCGTAGCTGGTTCAATCGCTTCTGTCCCCTTCTACTGTATCTTTCCTGTGGTGTGGGAGAGTCTAAGGCTTATCTGGAAGAGATCAGGTTGGAGAAATAGAGTTAAATGTCAGAAATGCAGTCAGCAGGTTCAGGAAAGCTCGTGACCCCTGTGTCAGCCCAGTCACACCAGCTTGGGTGTGGGCCTAGCGATGGGAACTGTTTACTGCTTTATGAGAATCTGGCTAATAGTGTGTAGGGGCTGCTTAATCAAAAGGACAAGTCAGCACCTACCATTTGCCACATATTAGTCTTTCTTACATTTTATTTATTAATTTTGGTGCTGCAGCATATATGTGGAGGTTAGAGGTCACCAGTGGAGTCAGTTCTTTCCCTCACCATAGGGTTCTGGGGATTGAACTCAGGACCTCAGACTTGATGGCAGGCACTTTGTATTAAAAGGCCTGAGCTGGTCATACTGGTTCAAGTCTGTAATCCTAGCACTCAGGCTGAGGCAGGAAGCTCTCCAGTTCCAGAGAGAAATACCTATCTGTTAGGTATTTCAATTTAGATTGATGGGCCTCTCTGCAGATGCAAATAATTCCAACCAAACCAAATTAAGCCAAATTAAAAGATGTTTAATGAAATGTTTCCGGGGGAAGAGAGAAAAGGGGAGACCACGCAAAACCTGGAGACCACGTGTTCATTCTCTGGGGGGGCTGTTTAAATAGCCTGTGGGAGTGGTCTTGACCTTCCCTGCGGAGGGGTTACTGTTTGCTGGGCTTTCTTGACCCTCCCTGGGGAGGGGGCTTATTCCAGGA